TTGGCTAATGGTTACACAAGACAACAAATCGTTATGACATCATAAAGTGGACAAAATCTGATCAGCTCATTTTCAGACAGGTTTTTATAGAAAGAGACATGAAGAAGAGGGGACACATGTTGATGTAGAAGAGACATGAAGAAGAGGGGACACATGTTGATGTAGAAGAGACATGAAGAAGAGGGGACACATGTTGATGTAGAAGAGACATGAAGAAGAGGGGACACATGTTGATGTAGAAGAGACATGAAGAAGAGGGGACACATGTTGATGTAGAAGAGACATGAAGAAGAGGGGACACATGTTGATGTAGAAGAGACATGAAGAAGAGGGGACACATGTTGATGTAGAAGAGACATGAAGAAGAGGGGACACATGTTGATGTAGAAGAGACATGAAGAAGTCTATTTTCCATAATAGGTGACCGTTAAAGTCAGATTTTCTTTCTTTCTGTAAAAACGATGTCCTCTTACGTGAACGCGGCCTTGCCCTCCTCGATGTCTTTGCTCTTGGCCCCCGGCCCGGACTTCCCACAGAAGTTGACGGCGATGCACATGAGGAGGCCACATTTATTCAGGAAGTAGCAGGTGACGTCCACGCCCACCAGCAGCAGGAAGAAGACCACGATGAGGATGCCAACGATGGCGCCGGTGCCCATACCTGAACCTCCGGTCGCTGCGTCTGAAGTGGAAACAACGAGGGGGGGAAACGCAAGCAAAGCAGGGGGGAGAAGTTAGGGGAGAGGGGAGGGTTTTACATGAGGGAGAGGGGATGGAGAGAAAGTTAGAAAAGATAGAGAGAGAAAGGGGGGAGATGATGAGGAATGCAGTCAAGCTTTTAATACGCTGATTCAGATTTGTAAGACCTCAGGAGTGGAGAGTTAGACACAAATCATTCCTGAAACTAATTCAGACAAATCTCCACTTATTCATTATGGACGCTCGATATTTACTGTTGAAAAACCATCAAGGCAGACACTCTTGAAGGGTTTAATTTCACACACAATCACAGAACTTACCAAGAAAACAATGAAAACAGTCCCAATATAAATCAAAGAGGTTGATAGTTTACTATATACAAACGCTATATCACATTACACTGTGTTATGATGCTTACCTTATCAAAGGGATTGCATGTCAGTTTTACATCATTCAAAGCATACAATACTTTACAATTAAAGGGGCCCTATTGCAGGGTTTCCGTTAGCCGGTAATTACCGGTTTTTAGCTGATAAAATGTAATAAAAACCGGTAAATTAAAAAACCTGCCGGTCAAAATGTCCGATGCTCCGATCGATTGGCCGTCGATCATTATCGGCCGATATTCACTCTTAATAGTTTGATCTGTGCTCTCTATAAAGGCCGAGCAGGAGAGCTGGATCTGATCGATATGGACATAAACGCGAGTGAAGTGCATACTTGTCAACCCTCCCGATTTTCGCGGGAGACTCCCGATTTCATTGCCCTCTCCCGGTTTCCTCCCGGGGTCATATTTCTCCCGATTTCTGACAAAATCAGATTTACACACGACTGTTTCCACTCGGACTTTAATACAGCTACACCATTGTTTGGTTTCCATGGTAACACGTCTATTTAGTAGCGCGCGCAGCTCAAAGTCTGAGAGGGTGAGGCAGATATTCACAGAAAACAGAACAAGAATCGACAACTACTCTACTCTCTGCTCACTCCTTTCCTGTTAAATACAGGTCCAGCCCACACATATGCTCCATCAAGGACGGTGCTACAGGCCGCAAGGCATTGCACTTACAACTACAATAAGCATGTTAATGTTAATCTAACAGCTCCGGCGATCCACTAGCATCCCCCCCCCAATTTTGCATTTTGAAATGATGAAGAAGAGGGGACAGATGTTGATGTAGAAGAGACATGAAGGAGAGGGGACACATGTTAGNGTGTCTAAAACATTTAATAAAGCAGAGCAGGCTGAAATCTTATGAGTCTCAAATAGAAAAACATGTAACACTGCAAAATGATATGGCTGCCGTACGAGAATCGTACGGCAGCCATATCATTTTGCAGTGTTACATGTTTTTCTATTTGAGACTCATAAGATTTCAGCCTGCTCTGCTTTATTAAATGTTTTAGACACTGTGATTGTAACCTTTTTCCTTTGATACGTTGTTATGACATTTGGCCCTGTTTTTTAGTTTTCCTATTTTTTAGCACTCAAGCCGACGCTAGACAGATTTGACTATGTGTTCATTTCCCGAGCAGCTCTATTATCCTTGTCCACATTCTTTAAGGCTGGAGAAAGAATACACTACAATCAAAACTAAAGAGATGGAGGAGCAGGTGGAGATAAAGGTGCGTGGAGATTGTTGAATGGTAAAATAAATGTTGTGCATGATATGTGTACTTAGTTTGATGTGATATTTGTACTTTGTTGTTTTGCAGAGGTTGCGCACGGAGAACCGGCTCCTGAAGCAGCGGATAGACACACTAGAGAAGGTGAGTGGAGCAGAACCTCTTCATCAGCATTACATCAACCCCAAACAGCTGTATGCGCTCATACATCATGCATCTCTGCTTCATGAAGGACTCTTGTCTTTCACTAACTGGGCTTACGTTAAAAGTGCGTTTGCATGATGAACCATCGCTGCTGCAGTATGGGGCATTTTCTGATTGCAGATAAAGTAACGATCGGAAGGCAGAATGGGACTTGAAGTTGTCTTGTTGTCACAGTGACTGTCTTTGTGACTCAGACACTAACTATAAAGAGCCTGTTGGAATGTGAAAGTGTCTGCTTGAAGTCGATACAAAGCACTGCATCTCAAGCTGCACCGTCTGTATCGTCCTGCAACATTTTGTGTCTCTTTGAATGAGCGCTACTGCTGCTGCCTGGTTAAGGCCCCTGCATGAGGGCCCCGGGGCGTTTGCCTGCAGGGAGGAACACTCGGGTCTAAATGAGTCCGCTACTCACCGTCCAGCTGGAGACTGCTGCGTCTCTGTCACCTAACTCCCAGGACCTTTTAACTCTTCACTAACTGTTCACAAAAACTTAAAAAAAACCTTAACCACATCAAAGCCGGAGCCTCTGTTCAGTTTGAGACTGTCACCTCAACATCCAAATTACATGTTTGTCCTCTTAACTGTAGCACTTTCATTCCATACAGATTGTTTTAAGGGGAGTTGCAGAGTGTTGGAGATATTGGCCGTAGAGATGTGCAGCTTCTTTTCAATATAATGGAACTTAATGAACACCCAAAGCATACAAAATATATATTTATAAAACTCAATAGCAGTTTCTTGTTCCAGAAATCATGACCGGGTTCCTTTTCATACAGACCTTGTTGAGAGTAGTTTCATATTGGAACTATTTTCTTTCTACCACACTCCGCTAAGCCTCTCATCCATGAGTAGATGCACGCTTTCTCCTGCGCAGGGATGTGGTTGTCGGGTGCAGGGATGTGGTTGTCGGGTGCAGTTTGGTAGAAAGAAAATAGTTTCTACATAGGATGACTCTCAAAGAGTTCTGTGGAGTCTGCACGTTCTGGGAAAAACATTGCATCTTAACAGCTGATATCTCCAACATTACGCAACTCACCTCAAAACACTGGATGAATAAATAGCACCAAAGCTAAAAGGAACACAAATATTTAGATATTGGGTGAACTGTCCCTTTAAACAACAATTAGCTCCAAACTAACCTGTTGAGCTGATTTCCACTCTCTTAACTCTTCATGCTATAAATAGAGCTGTCCTGTGCTCCTTCCTGTCTGAACCTCTCACTGATATCAGCACCGTCTCATTCTCACTTTGTCACCAACTTTGTGCACCCTTTTTTCATCACACCTGCATGCAATGTTCCTTTTCTAGCCCTGAATGTAAACACCATTCCACAGTCCAACAAATATTTCCGGATGGGAAATGAACATTGCATTTCTTCTCTTAAATGATCAGTTGTTCTTTTTGTGTGCTCTTAAACTGTCCTCTGGATTGTCTCTCTCTCTGCTTTCTCTTGTTGATATTTCTGTTTTGTAGGAAAGTGCTTCCTTGGCAGATAGATTGATCCAGGTATACTCCTCATTTTCTCTTTACCCCCATAACTTAAGTTGCACCTTCCTTCTTTCTTCTGTCTCTCGAGCAAAGCATGCTTTATGATTAGTTCAATGCAGAAACAGTAATAATGCAGATTCAATTAACTCTAATGATTCTCTGAATGAAGAATTAAACCAGATTATGATTACACTGTTGAATAAGTGCATGAAATAACACATTGTGGCATGTCAGAGAATCACAAATAACGCTAAAGAAAGCAAAGCTAATACAATATAAATCACAGGTTACTAGAGTTAAGCATGTCCTTAAAAAACCACAGATCCCTCATCCTCTCCTCTGATTTGCCCATCCTATTCCGCCCTCTCGTTTCACCCCGTCGTGCTCACGCTGTCGTNCCCCCCCCTCCCTCGGTTGGTAACGTCCCAAGGGACAAGTGACCCGGGCTCAGGAGGCAGAGGAGAACTACCTGGTGAAGCGGGAGCTGGCCACAGTCAAACAGCAGAGCGAGGAGGCCTTAGCTCAGCTGGAGCAGGCCAAGGCGACCATCGCACAGCCCCGGCAGCAGCAGCAGCCAAAAGCGGTAAGGAGCCCCCCCCCCAGTCCCCAGTGGGCCCCTGCACAGGCTCAGATCCTGCCCAGTGTGTGACAGGCGCTGTGACGCTGACACTGGGATGTTCCCACTCAGTGTGTATTTGCAGGACCCATATCAAGATTTTGCAGTGTGCTAAAGCTGACACCTGGGTCAGTGTAAATATCTTTCATGTGTCACCGTTATATCCGTGTTGATACTCATCGCCTAGGAACACAATCCAAGCAGTGGCAGAGCAGGGCCTTTCTCACTCTGCACATCAGCTTTGGGTTATCATCTGTTTTGGCATGCATGAATTCACATTGGGACACGGAGTACTACACGCTCCTGCCCCCATTTATTGTCCTCTGCATTCCCAGAAATGCGTTCATGAATTTGTAAGCAGTTTCACGGCTGATATGGCAGCCTGTTCACAGAATCCTCTCGCTGCAGATAGACCTAACAGGCTCAATTATTGATGGTCGGATTCCACATGATAATGTGCAAGAATTACAATGTTTAACATAATTTATGGTGCTCCTCATGAATTATTTATGCGAAAGTGAAAAGGCAAGAAGTTGGTGTGAGCTGCGCTGAAGGTTGGATTCTTTGTAGTGGAGAGTGAAGAGGTATCAAGATGTAGTTTTGGATCCTGGTTTATATTACTGAATGTTAAATATGTTACTTCAATAACTGCTCCTATTTAGGACACAGGTATGGACATGTGTAGCTCTGCTTTAGTGTCTGCGCTCACACACTGTCCTGTTGTAGAAGGGAGCCCCGCGGTACTGTGAGGAGTCCGTCCTGCAGCTGGAGAGGGAGCTGGTGCAGGCCCGGCTGAAGGAGGCGGAGTCTCAGTGCGCCCTCATGGAGATGCAGGACAAGATCCTAGAAGTGGAGAAGGTGGGTCGTCTCAGAGACCATTGGACAGCCTCAATCTTAGCCATAGTACAGTATAGTTTTATGACTTGGCTATCATATTTTAATATGATTGTCACATTAGGGCCATTGTAGGATACAACTATTTAAAACTAAAGGACCCAAGAAAGGGGGTAATACTTTGTAAACAACTGAGATTAAAGTGATACAATAAAAAACACAACAATGTATCAGAAAAGTAGAATGTATTCTGTAAGTATAAAGACATATTACATTTGACAGAAATTCAATCTGAAATGCTCTGAGAGTTAGGTGATGAATGTAGGAGACAATTCTCACACATTTAAGAGAGAAGAGCTGTCAAAGATCCTCAACATTTCACTTCACGAGGATGGATAGACCTCATCGCATTGCAAACAAGCCAACATTCACTAACATCTCATCGGTCGATCAGTCGATATAAAAAGGTTATTGCAGCTATACACTGACATTTTTGGTAAATGCATTTAAAGCTTGTGACTCCTGGTTTTCAGAATAAGGTGTTATTATATTAAAGGAATGAAATAGATACATGGAAAAAGATTATAAATAATATTTACAAAAGGTATAAAACATACTACTTGTGTTGCTTATGATTCAAAAAGAAAATATCAGGGGAAATTATTAATAAATTGCTGGAAAGAAATTGAATATATAATTCCTGAAAATCTCTGATTACATACAGACAAAAAAAATGTACACTAACAATTAAGAGATTTGCATAGTTTTTTTTATAGCACCTCAAGTATTCAGTCTCTGAACATTCAGCACCTACATCTTGGAGAACATCCACGTTTGTTCCTTATAAATGTACAGTGTTAATCTGAGAATTGTGGCTGTACATCTAATGCTGCATTCTAATTTGTTACAAACCTTCCTTAGAGGAACTCGTCGCTCCCTGATGACACCAATGTGGCGCGGCTCCAGGAGGAGCTGATCGGGGTGAAGCTGAGGGAGGCCGAGGCTGTGACCGGACTCAAACAGCTGAGGCAGCAGGTCCGAGACCTGGAGGAGCACTGGCAGGTGAGCAACAGGCCATTCATGGAAAGGAATCTGTGTTGGACCAAAACAATCATTTCTGTGAAACCTAAAAGAGAAGTTTTGGAAGAGGTGGAAGTTTGACGGGTTGCTCCGCTCCTCAGCGCCACCTGGCCCGCACTGCTGGCCGTTGGAAGGACACCCCGAAGAAGAACACGCTGAGCGAGCTGCAGGACGAGCTGATGAGTGTGAGGCTGCGAGAGGCCGAGGCTCAGGCCGAGCTGAGGGAGACACGACAGAGGATGCTGGAGCTGGAGACACAGGTCAGCTCACACTCAGCTAAAGACGCTGTTTTTTTATTTTGTTAATGTTTTGTGCTGAATTCTTTGATTTTTGACTGTCCTTATAATGCCATAATACATAGAAATGTAAGACATGCTGTAGTATAGAGACTTGAGTGGTGCAAATCTTCAATGTGGAAACAGTAAATAAGCTCCAACAGAAGTGGTTCCTCCACATGTATTGTCACCCAGTTTCCTTCAGAGGGCAGCACTCATCTGTTCCAAACTCACACATAGAACTGTGCAGGCTCTGCTAATCCAATGGTGTCACTCAAATTCTCTTTGGTTTGAATTGTATGTTTATCAAGGTCAAACCTTTTTTCTCACACAGAATCAGATCCACAGTAACCATCTGCGACGGGCGGAGCAGGAGAGCCGCTGTCTCCAGGAGTGTGTGCAAACACTGACAGGGCAAAACAAAGACCTGCACGTGCAGCTGCAGGAGATCAAGAGGAGGCAGGCTGAGATTGAGTGCAAGGTACGACTCCGCTCTGCAACACTCAGCTCTGTAACCACAACAAGTGGAGAATAGATAGAATTCTAGGTTTATTTGAATGATCAGAACATAGTTGTTCTGTATTTAGCTTTAATGTATATTTCCAAGCTTAAGGTATCTTGTTATAAATTCAGTTTGCCTGGTGTGTTGTTTCCTGAAGTTCTCACTAGGGCTGCAAATAACAACTATTTTGATAATCGATTAATCTTTCGATTATTTCTACGATTAATCAGATAAGAAACGTGCAAAAAAAAAAATGTTTTCCATTATTTTATTCAGAAAACTGCCTTTCCAAATTGACAACATCAACACACAAGAACAACCCAAATGTAGGCTATAAAACATTATGCAAAAGCTATTTAACAGCTTGTTTTGAACAACAAATATGTCTCTTTAGGTTGCTGGAACAAAAACAATGTCCTTTCAAATGATCAACCATGATAACTAACCTAACGGTAGGCGATACAGATGCGTCTGTTTTGCTTCTTTTTTTTAAATACTTGAATGGACCTGTGTCTCAACCCGACCTATTTTCTGCTCATCTGCAAACACTTTGAAATAGCTGAATCAATACATTTGCATAGTTTCAAGTTAAGTTAAAATCGTTAATCGTTACTTTGTGTTTTTTCTTTGAGTGACGTAGCCAGCTCGCAAACAGAGAGTAACAACATAGACCCAACAAATCGATAACTTTGTTACCAACTTTTTTAGCAATCGATTTTTATCGATTTGTTGTTGCAGCCCTAGTTGCCACTGGCTATTTATTTTGCTGCGTTCCTGGTAGATGTGTTTAACAGCACAGTAACACTGCCCATGTCTCAGGAATCCCCCCCGCATGAGCATTACACAATTAGAAAGAAAAGAGGCATCACGCCTCCGGGGGTTTTGGTAGCACTGTTGTTGACATAGCGTTGTTTGTTCTCTCTGCAGAGTAAAGAAGAGGTGATGGCGGTGAGGCTGCGGGAAGCTGACAACATCGCTGCCATGGCTGAGCTCCAGCAGCACATCTCAGAGCTGGAGATTCAGGTAGAGTCCCAACACACGTCCTGCTCTGCGTCACACTGTCCATTTCCTTTTCCTTAAAGGTGGGGTAGGTAATTTTGGAGAAACCAGCTCGAGTGTGCTAGAATTTGAAAATACACAACCGGAGAAAATCTGCCACTTCCTTACAGAGCCCCTCCTCCAACACACACGAACACGCACATGACCAATGAGGGCACGAGATAAATGTGTGCACAGATGAAAGACTGACAGGCAGGTAGGCCATCCGCCCGGCTAAAATAACTGGTCGTGCTTTTTACAGCACTACGGCTTCCACAGATGACGTGTTTTTATGGATTTTTTGTCAAAGCACTTAAGATATTCATTGCTATTGGGATGTTAAGAGCATTCCATGGAATATAACATAAAGTGTATCTCGAGCCGGTTTCTCAAACTTACCTACCCCACCTTTAANCGGGCTTGCTCAAATTATTGCTCGTGCTTTTTACAGTACTACGGCTTCCACAGATGATATGCTTTTATGGATTTTTTGTCAAAGCACTTAAGATATTCATTGCTATTGGGATGTTAAGAGCATTCCATGGAATATAACATAAAGTGTATCTCGAGCCGGTTTCTCAAACTTACCTACCCCACCTTTAACCAACCATACTGAACACACTTCATCCCTGTGACTCACTTGTCACAATTGCTCTGAAGTCGTAACACAAAAAGGTCTGTGCCAAAAACTGTCATAGGTTAAATATTGATTATTCTCCATTCTCACTGAATTAAAAATGTTTAACCATCGTTACATTTGAATAATTTGAACTCCATCAAATGCCAGTTTGTTTACATACTGCTACTGTTTTATAGGAATAATAACACAAACAATTATAATTTCTGTTTACTAAATGAGAGGGGGGTTTTTTTATTTCAGAGAGGATATGACAATTATTAATTAGAATTGTTATGTGCGGTGTCAGATATGAAAAACAACTCCGACTTGTCCCCTAAAAAATTATATATGCGAGTATGAGCTGCCACTTTAAGAGTTAAATGTCCGACCATAATGCCACTGTTGTTTGTTTATGGAAAGACAGCCCAGAAAAATAGAATTATCTTCTGTATACTAAACATTTGTATCTGTCAATGTGTCAATGAATAGTAACAACGTCGATTTTGATGGATTGCATCAAATATTATACATCAGCAATGCCCAATTGGCAACAAGGAATACCAGCATTTATTAACCCCATAAGGCAAACATGAGTAAATATCTGGCGACATTTTGAGGCTCTGGATTGAAAGCCAATGGTGTAAATGAAGGTTTTAATGTGTTTCAATGGGAACACGTTTGTTCTTAAGGGTCCTGGTGTCTGTATTTTGGATATACTATCTTTATACATTTATTGTAGGAGTTAAGCTAGAACTTTCCAAATAAATAAAAAAAAAAAAAAAAGAGTTCACAACTTTGCCAACACTTATGTCATCTGCATTTGCCAAAAGGTCCCCAGTGAGGCTGAAGTGTTGAAGCTGCCTCTGACAGCAGAACAGGAGGATGAGCTAGTCTCTAACGATAGGTGCTCCACTGTACCCTCCACTATCTCACTTTGATCGCTGGTTATTTCCAGTGACAGATTTCTGACTGTAGGTTAGTTCTTCTCACTGCTTTGAAATGTACAGGAAGCCAGAATCTTTTTTTATTTCCAACATTTCTATCCACCAATCAGAATTTGACAAGATAAGAATCTGAATCTGATAACATTTTAGGTGTCGTTTTACTTATGTTGCCCAGGAAACGCCCATGTCAACAAAATCTGATCAAAACACACCCACTCATTCCCGATGACGCAGATTGGCGTTAGTTATTTCATGTTCTTCTGACTTTGAGTGATCCTTGTTCGGTCATGTTCTGGTGCTTTGAGGCTCAGACATTAGACATGCACGGTGAACATAAATCATGTTCAGTACAGATTTGTGTTCTTCAAAATATCATTTTCAGTGAAAGGACAAATTGTTCTCCAATCCTGAAATCTGGATTTCAAACACGGTGATGATGTTATCAAGTAAGATTGTCTGGAACTGCTCTACAAAAGCGTTATTATTTCTTATTTCTGTGCAAACTCCAGATGTAACAGCAGCTTGTTTTCGAACGGTGGTTGAAGAACACAACTTCAGACACTGTCATGTCTTTTTATGAAGTTCTGTAGACGACGCATCAAAAGAACTCCCTTGTTTGAATCTGTCTCAACAAGCAAAAGTGAATAAGTATTTATCCCTAAACAAATGTAAAGCTACACTCAACAAGGGTGACTAAGAGAAACACAGGCCTGCTGTGACACTGCCAGCACTTCTGATTGACGGCAGATAAAGCATCAACAATAGATTGAGGCTTGTTTGTGGGCTCAACACACTTTCCAAATCAGTAGATACTGTTAGTGTGTGCTTTAATGAGCCAAACTGCCTGTTCGCTTTGCCTCTCTCTACTTTACACGCCTGTGGTTTTTAAATGTGTACCAGTGCTACAAACCCCTTTCAGACTGATATCATGTTAATACTTAAGTATTTATTCTAGGGCCGGGACTTTAACGCGTTAATTAAGATTAATTAATTACACAAACATTAACGCGTTAAAAAAATTAACGCATTTTAATCGCACTTATTTTTGCCCTGCGGAACATTTCTCACTGGATGAGTTTCAGGCGTACCGATTATACTGGAGCACCAACTAAGGTTCATGACTTCAGACAACAACAAACCACAGTGAACAATAGTCAAACATGAACGAAGAAGCTGATGAGACCGCTTTGGTTGGCCCCGTGGATGGGACATTTTGTTTTAAAAAACGGACGGATGGAAGCGTCGATAAGAGCACGGTTGTATGCAAATTATGCAAAAAGGAATTCGCATATCACCGCAGCACATCAAGCCTCAAGTATCACCTCAATGCAAAACATATAGCAGCTAGCGTGGAAGCTAGCGTGGATGTTAGCCCGACTCCGAGTACAAGGACCCACACCATAGTTGCCCTCAGGAATCGGGAGCATTTCAAAATGCAAAATGGCGGGGGGGGGTGCTAGTGGATCGCCGGAGCTGTTAGATTAACATTAACATGCTTATTGTAGTTGTAAGTGCACTGCCTTGCGGCCTGTAGCACCGTCCTTGATGGAGCATATGTGTGGGCTGGACCTGTATTTTACAGGAAAGGAGTGAGCAGAGAGTAGAGTAGTTGTCGATTCTTGTCCTGTTTTCTGTGAATATCTGCCTCACCCTCTCAGACTTTGAGTTGCGCGCGCTACTAAAGAGACGTGTTACCATGGAAACCAAACAATGGTGTAGCTGTATTAAAGTCCGAGTGGAAACAGTCGTGTGTAAATCTGATTTTGTCAGAAATCGGGAGAAATGCGGGAGAAATATGACCCCGGGAGGAAACCGGGAGAGGGCAATGAAATCGGGAGTCTCCCGCGAAAATCGGGAGGGTTGACAAGTATGGCGCCATCTTGTATACGGGCGGCATGTTCTCGTGATAATTGATCTTAGATCGGCGCCACAGTATTCCCCTCATACTTTATTTTTTCTAGAAGAATCCCTGATGCAACACATTGTACGTGCTAAGGGGCGGGACATCTCTAAGCGGTTGACCAATCACAACAGAGCCGGCCAAAAACAGAAAAACTATAATTATCCAAATCAGACAGACTGGGACTCATGGTAATTATGACAGAGGGTGAAAAGAAGTGCTGCAGACACAGGCAAGTAATGAAAGAAACACACCTCGACACACACGCCAACGCCCATGGTAGGACTATTATGTCCCAGTAGAGACACTAAATACTAATATGAACCTGAAAATGAGCATATCATGTCCTCTCCAAAGCAATATATCTCAAACAAATCATAATCGATTGTGTGAGGTATGAGGGACCTATGTTGAAATTGGGAGCAGGATCGCGCTAGAAGTGCGGATAGTGCAGAGCAGGGGGTAACACACCCAACAGGAGAGCAAACTTCCCCTACCCCCAACCCTGTACAGCCAGTGAATGCAGGGGTGGGTGTGGGGGGTGGGGTGGTTTGGCTGGAAGAGAGGGATGCGTCCTCTACAAGCTCCCACTGCATTCCCTTATGCGCTGACGTTCGCTCTGCCTTCAGTGGCTACTGAGGTGGAACGGCTACCATCTAAAGAAATACAATCGGTTTGAGGCCGACGGCGGGCAGGTGGGTGGTCCTCCCACTTCTCTCCAAAACGTTGACAATCCCCACGCAGCCCTAAAGTCAATCTTAAATCCAATTAGTCATTGCATTAGACTGTGAGGAAAAGCAACCAACTTATATCACTGAATAGAACAAACTGACAAATGTTATTGAGCTGCTGGCGCGTGTCCTCTCGTTTGCCGAGAACAGAACAAATGGGAGCTTATATTGATCAAGAGAATACCGGGCTATGGAGTGATTGGAGGCAGGAGGGGGTCCTGGTGGGGATAAGTGTTATATGTAAATGGAAAAGCGGTTGCTCTGATTGCACGGGAGTGAAAGAGGATTGATAGAGCAGAGGGGGAAGTTCTGCGGAGAGAGAGGGAGTTTTTCGAGAAAAGGGGAAGAGGGGCGGGGAGGATTTCAGGTTTACAGAGTGGGGGCAATAATTACATCTGGAAAGCAGACTGCCTCAGAAAAAAAGCAGGTGAAAGAAAGGACAGATAAAAAGGGATGTTTAGGCAAAGCCGGGCAGGGAAACTAGAATTTAGGGGTAAGGCTTGGTAGTTAAGGAAGCAGAGATAGGCACACAAGAAAGTTTTAATATTGCTTTCCCTCGAGGAATTTAAAATGTGTCAAAAGCAAAAAAAAGAGTCGCATGCCAAAAGGAGGCTGAGGGGGTGGAGAAGGTTGTGTGCGGAGGATTTGGTTATATCTGGCAGTATATCTACAGTGCCCACTCCAGATGCCAAACATGAAAAAAGAAGAGAAGTGAGAGGGTATGTGATGTAGGGTGAGAAGAAGAGGGGGGAGGTGATATCGATGTTATCTGATTTGATGTTTGAGAGATT